TTTTAAAAACTATCATCTCTTGAGTAACAGGGCTATTTTCTAAACCATGAAAACACTTTAAGACTCACTAAAGTTAGAAATAGGAATAGCAATTACCTGAGGAATGGCTGCACTTCTGAAGGACAAAATGATTGCAGAAACTGTAAATCTTTTAATGAAATATCTGGAAGTTCACAGTCAAACTTTCGAGGTTTCTGAGTCTAGATGAAAAGAAAAAAATTACCAATATAAAAGATTAATTTCTTGACATAATAAATTCAATAAGCTACTGTCAAAAATGTCAAATGATCTCAACACAATTAAGAAATAAAGAAAAGACCACTCAGCAAAGACGTAGCACAGTACATCTGGGGGACTTTTGATAGTCTGGATCGTTAGTGATCAACAAGTCTGTTCGTTCTTCCCTTTGTGTGTTTAGCCGCGTTTTAGGGAAATTACAGTATTCCCATCAACACTAAATGAAACCACTTGTACTGTGTGTATGTGACATCCCTATAAGCTTGGTTGTCAAACATGCGATGCATTTTCTATCTAACATTTCTTTCCTTGGTCTTCTGTTACATCTTCAAAAATACTGTTGAGTTGGGTATGGTGGCCCATGCCTCTAATTCCAACACTTGGGAAGCAGAGGCAGCTGTTTCAAACAAACAACAAAAAACCCTCAAATCAAAAAACTGTGGGTCAGTATATTAATTCTAAGTTATTTTTATAATACTGACAAGAATGGTACTTAATTGTTAAATTTAGTATTTAAGAAGATTTAAAGATGTTGAGATACTCTATAAAATAGGTCCTTGGAGCTGGGTATGGTGACATGCCTTTAATCCCAGCACTCGGGAGACAGAGGCAGGCAGATCTCGGTGAGTCCAAAGCCAGCCTGGTCTACAAAGCGAGTTCCAGGGCAGATGGAGCTACAGAGGCTCTGTCTCAAAAAGACCAAAAAAAAAAAAAAAAAAAAAAACACCCCCAAAAACCCAGGTCCTTGGGAGAGATGGCTCAGTAGTTAAAAGCACTGGCTACCCAGGTTTGATTCCCAGCACCCACATGGCAGCTGACAACTATCTGTAACTACAGTTCAAGGGGATCCCACATATTCTACAAATGTGCACAAAACGGGTTCACTTATATATATGCAAGCAATACACTCATACACATAACAAATAAAATGTTTAAAAAAATAAATAGGTCCTTGGATAACCAAATATGTGAATCCTGCTCACTCTGAATTCACTCATCTCCTCCCGTTTTTTTTTTAAAGAAAGGGTCTCTCTACAGCCCCCGCTGGCCTGGAGCTTAACTATGTAGACCAGTCTGGCCTCATCTCACAGAGATCCACCTGCCTCTGCCTCCTGAATGCTGGGATTAAAGGTGTAGGCCACCAGTGTATGTATGGCATTTTTTTTTTATTTACTTATTTTAATGTGTGTGTTGTACCTGCATGCAAGTATATGCTTGTCGTGCAATGCCCAAGGAGGCCAGAAGAGGGTGTCAGACCCCCTGGAACTGAAGTTATGAATGGTTGTTAGCGGCCATGTGGGTGCTGGAATTCAAACCTGAGTCTTCTTCAAGAGTAGCCAGTGCTCTTAACCGCTGAGTCATCTTTTCAGCCCCTGTGTGTGTATTCTTAAGAAATACTGCCATACAGAAACATGTTTCAAACTAAGGTGCAAATATGGGTGGTGGTGATGGGGCATACAATCCCAAAGTTCTTTAATGATTAAAATGTTTCTTTTCATTTAATAAAATAATAGACCGAGCTACATTGGTCTTAAAATACAGCAAGTTAAACTTTCATGTTTAATTTTAATGAAGATTCACTGTAGAGTCACTATTCTGATTCACCAAAAAATTAAGAGGATAGGGAAATAAAGGACTGAGAGGAGGAAAATGGAAAGAAATAAAAAACAAAATCTTTTCCTGTCAATTATGACAGTCTAATACTACCATAGGTACAGTGAGGATTCTTGATCAAAACTAGTAATGCATGGTAAATCTTTATGCTAGGTGACTCTCTTCAAGTCAAAAGACATTTTCTGCTGATTTAATCATATCACAATTAATTCTGTTTCTGATAAATGCTTCTACATTTGGAAAAGGGTTTTATAATACACAAATTTAGTTGTGGCCAGAAAATAAATACATACACAAAAGGAGGGGGGCCAGGAGTCCAGTCCCCTAAACAGACGATTTCTTAAAAAAGACTTCCCTGTATAAAGAAATTAAGAATATGGTTATTTTAGAAATTATTTAAAGCTGGGGGGGGGGGGGTTAAAAAAATTAATGAACACTTACTAAATAACTTCCCAAAAGATTCCCTTTTGGACTTTTCAGCTTCATACAACTGCTTTCCATCTTTGACTAAAGCTCCAGCCCACTTAAAAGAGGAACGTTTGTTAATAACATTATCAATTTATTAAATGTTCACATATACTTAATTCAAATAACTTACCTCTCTGTAGTGTTTAATGAACATTTTTCTCCTTACAACCTCAACAACAGCTAAGCAATACATCTGAGGAACTGTGCTAAGAGCCTCAACAATTTTGACTCTTTCTAACAGCTCTATTACAAGGCGGAGCAATGCTTGTAGTTTCTCTCCATCTTGATCAGCATGAAGCATCACAAAACAACACCACCTACAGAATGAAAGTCATTATCTTCAACAGCCCCAAGGTTCACTGGAATGAAACTCAACTTGTAGGTTAAACTATGAAAATCAAGACACAGGAGGTCTATAGTGTCTAATCCTAGAGTTAATCAATATGTATTTCAATGCAGTAGCAAGGGGAAACTATTCTCATCACTGGGAAGATAAAGACATGAACTCTAAAGAATCTAAATTGTGCTGGGCATGGTGGGGCACACATTTAATACTGCAGCACTTGGGAGGCAGAGGCAGGTAGATCTCTGAATTCAAAGCCAGCCTGGTCTACATAATGAGTATCAGGCCAGCTAGGGCTACAGGGAGACTCCTTCTCAAAAAAGATACCCCCCCCCTTCAAATTTAAATTACATATGAACATAATGTCTTACTTCAGTCTGACATGTAGATTATTTGCTAGTTCTTGTTTGGCAGTGGTGCACTTCTGTTTAATATCCAACAGTTTTCTATGGTTTTGCAACATAATCATCAATTGATTTGCGTGACTCAGGCACAGATCAGGTAACACAGATGCATCCTTCAAGTTTTCAGCTCTCATCTGATTAGCTAAAAATCCCTTTGGGGAAGAAAAAATTTAAGAACATTTAATTTTGTTACATAATGACAAGATTAAGATAAAAATTAGCTTTAAACTGTTTTACTTTCAAAGATTTTTAAATCTCCTTGGGATGGGGATATAGCTCAATGGTAAGATGTTTGCCTAGCATACATGAAACCTGGGTTCGATTTCAAGCATCTCTAAATACACATAACAACCAAAATCTTGCATTTTTCTTAATGTAATAAATGCATTCATAAAACAAGACGTTCCCAGAATTTAGATCTAAGTTGGTTTCACTACTCAAAGTAAAAAGAACATTAAGCCGGGTGTGGTAGTGTATTGCCGTTAATCCCAGCACCCAGGAGGCAGAGGCAGGCGACAGGTGGATCTCTGGGAGACCAAGGCCAGCCTAGTCTACATAGCTAAAGGGAGAGACCCTGTCTCAGAAACTCCTCAACCACTCCTGCAAAAAACAAACAAGAAAAAATAAAAAAAAGCAAAGAAGACAAAAGTAATATAAGCAAGGACATACCCAGTGACAAAATTAGAACCACGCCGTAACCTTAAGTGTATATAACACACAAAGGATGAACCACCAGATTATACACAATATATTACTGGGGGTTTTTTTTTGGTCTTGAGACAGGGTCTCCCTGAAGCCCCAGCTGGCCCTGGAACTTGCTTTGTAGACCAGGATGGCCTCAACCAAAGATTCGCCTACCTCTGTCTCCCAAGTGCTGGGACTAACCGCATGTGCCACAATGCTTGGCTAACACAATAAAGTTTTAAAAAGCATAGGATAGAGAAAATTTGGCAAATGACAAGTGAGAGGAAATATGTATCAAACTTGAAAATGGGCAAATTGTTCTCATGATTAACAGAGGACTTACTGATTTTGAATGCCTTTATGAAAAGCACTATAACATTATTAGTTAATAATTAAGTCTACAAACACCTTAATCCAATAACAGTGTTATTAGAATTGATGTCTAAGTCTTTATGCATGTAAAGACAGGTAAACTGGGTTGGGTATGATGGTATGAACCTATAATACCCACCCACACTTGGGAGGCAGAGAAAGGAAGATTCTGAATTCAAGGCCAGCCTGGTCTACAGAACAAGTTCCATGCCAGCTTGGGTTGAGTAGCAACACATTATCTCAAAGAACCGAACAAAGACTATGTATTGAGATAATTAAAAAATACGTGATAAGGAAAAACTGATACTACTTAAGAATCAGCAAAAGAAGCATGGTTATATCATGTCTGATTCATTCCATGAAAGGTTAAAGAATGCTTGCGAGAAAGCAGTCAAAGATAAAAACGTACTGGGCATGCATTTGGGGGGCACTTGGGAGGAAAAGGCAGGCAGATCTCTGTGAGATCAAAACCAGCCTGGTCTACATAGCGAGTTCCAAGCCAGCTGGGACTACAGGAGACCCTGTCTCAAAAAGAAGAAAAAAAAAAAAAAAAAGCAAAATTCTTTAGTCTTTACTGCACTGTGGTTTGTTTTGAACCTCAAATGCCTCCTATAAATTCGTGTATTTGAATGCCTGGTTCTCAGTTGGTGGTGGTGAGCTGGGTGATTAGAGAACCTTTGGGGTGTAAGATTGGGCTGGCAGAGATGGATCACTGGGGTGTCTCATTGCTTCCTAACATACCAAGTGGTAAGGTAGTACCATGTCACACTCCCTCTGTTACTGATGAAGCTGCTCCTGATGTATTTGCTCCACCTGCCCTGCCTTCAAAATGAACCTCTTCTCCCTTCAGTTGTTTCTGTCAGTTCAGGACTTGGTCACATTGACAAGACCAGCTAACAAACACATATGGCAATAATAACGCATTAGCAGCAGACAAGGAAGGGGTGAACAAATGGTGCATGCCAAATGGATAAAGTGGTTAAAACACATAAAGCCAACACAGTACCTGAGCGAGCTCTTTCTGTTCATTGACCAGCCGGCCACAGCTGGCAATCATCTGGTCCAGGGCATACAGCCGATCTTCAAGCCCTTTAATGGCTTTCATATTCTGATTATCAAGTTTGGCAATAGTCTGATGGCATTCTAACATAAATGGTTGAATAATCTTTGGGTCAAGCTAAGTAACAAGGAAACAAATGAATAAAAATTTCAAGAAATAGTTTCAAACATATTTCACATTATTTTGATACACATAGAAAAGCAATCCATAGTAAATCTAACTTATACTTGCATAGAAAAGGTAAAAGGACAAATCTCATCTTAAACTGATACTAAATGTATCTAAATGATTATGAACATCATCAGTCCAGCACTCAGATTTCAGGCAATGCTACAATTCAAGCAGTTCTTAATATCCTTCAGAAAATGTGACTTTCAAAGTCATACAGAGTTTATGACAGACTGATTCCTTGGTAACTTATCTCAAAGCATCCTCTATAACCAGGTATGGTGCCCACTTGCCCATAATACCAGCACCTGGGAAGCCAGGGCAGGAAGATCATAAGCTGGAGGCCAGCCTGGGCAACTTAGCCAAGACCCTCCAACTCAGATACAGAAAATACAACTTCTTTATGCTTAGTTTTCTTCAGGAACTTGCTTGACCACATGCTTTCTTAATCTTTAATCCCTCCTGTTCTCTGGCTTTACTCCTACAAATGTGCTGGAATACATGGAATCTAAAAAGCTATGACATTGTCTTGTTACCACCTGAATGAATATTCTACCCTGGCTACCCATGACTGCATTTTCTGGTAAAGCTGTTTGGTCCGAGAACAACAAGTAACCTGCTTCACTAAGGCTAATTTCAGCACAGCAGGCCCATTTCCCATTCTCTTCAGGTCTCTTCACAGATTCCTTCTCAGACTGATTGCTCGAAAAAAATCTTTAAATACAGGTGATCCTGAAGGACACTGTCCATTTTTACTTTTTTTATTATTTTAACATTTTTGTGGGGAGGGGAGATGGTCTTACTCTGGAGCTCAGGCTAGCATGACCATGTAGTCCAGACTAGCCTCAAATTCCTATCAATTCTCCTACTTCAACCTACCAAGTGTTGGGATTATAGGTACGACACACCAATAATAGCTGGAAAGAATCTTACTACTTTTATGATTATTTTCCATTATTGGAAACTAGACCTAGGACCTTGTACTGTACCACTGACCTATATATCCCCATCACTAATGATAACTTTTTAATTAATTAATGTAGTGTGTGCATGGGTGTTTCTGTGAACAGGTTATCAGAGAACAATTTGCACTGCATGAGTTCGTTCTCTCCTTCCACCATGTGAATCCTGGGAATTGAACTGAAGGTATCAGGCTTGGTGGCAAGAACTTTCACCAACCACTGAGCCATCTTGCCAGCCCCACGCATAACTTTTAATAGAAGAAAACTACTAAATCCTCAGGCTGATACTAAATGCCTGCTAACATTCACATGAGGGTATCAAGTTATTTTCTTTAAAAAAAAAAAACATTTATTTATTCAGTGTATTTGTGCATGCATACACATATGTGTGTGCTCATAAGTGCTATAGCTCACACATGGAGATCATATGATAAGCTGCTGGAGGGAGTTCCTTCTCTCCACCATGTGAGAACAAACTCAGCTCATCAGACTAGGTGGCAAGTGCCCTTACACTCAGCACTCTCACTGGCCCACAACCAGGGGCTTTTTAACAGTGCTTTTAGCTATTAAGACTGTCTTTTTGATTATTATATCAGGAGACATCATGATGAAGGAGGTAAGTGACTAGACCTTTAAATCAAGACCTCACTCACTAAAAATTTTATTTACATACTCTCAATCTTCACAAAATTATAATCAATTCAAAAGCATGGTTATAAGTTAAATAATTTGATCCAACCTGAAGTTCCAACCCAAGGTACACTGTTGCCACTATAACAAAATAGTCATTTTCTCATTACCCACACAAAAATTATCACGTTAACATCACTTACCCTGCTCATAGAATCAAAGCACTTTCTGACCAAAGATTCCACATCATTAGGTCTATCCTGAACATTTATCCAGTCTAACAAAGAAACATTAAAAAAAGGCAGTTCACTGTCTTTAGCATCCACTGAAGTTTCATCTTGTTGGACAGCACTTTGACAAGATTCGCTAATTTCTTCACCACTTTGACCATCTGTGGTATCTGAAGCTATGTGTTCCACTGACTTGTGAAATGAGGTTAATAAAGATGTGTTTGTTGTTCTAGGCATATCAGGAGAAAGCACCAGTTCAGTGGATCTTTTCATCATGGCTTTCTCTGAGACTTCCTGTTCATTTAAAGAATCCAGTCTTCCCAAACATTCCCTGTAACTATGTCTGGTTAGGCACTCCAACAGTGGAATCTTGGCCATTACTGAAACTGCAGTTCCTAAACTTAAAATATAAAACAGGTGTCAGTAAAACAATGAGTGTTCTAGTTAGGGATTAGTTCAATTAAATTGTATTGTATTGTAAAACATAAACCTTACCTCTTGTCCATTATACTATAAATACAAAAAGCCATTTTATTAGCTAGCTATTCACTAAAGGAAGTTACAGCTTAGTACAGAGGTTACCATTAACATATTAAAGCATCAACTTATAGTAGTAAAGCTCAATACGTTATACAGAATAAGTAGACACTGAATGTTTATCAAGCCATTCTCAAACAAAACATTTTTTAAAAATTAAAATTTACAACAATTGACCTAGCAAGTCCCTCAGAGTATAAGGTTGCTTTTAAGACAATCAAATATAAGGCTAGAGAACTGGCTCAGCAGTTAAGAGCGCTAGCTATTCTTGCAGACCTGGGTTCGATTCCCAGCACTCATATCATAGCTAACTACTGTCTGTAACTCTAGTTCCAGGGGAATCCGAAGCCCTCTTCTGACCTCTGTAGGCATTGCATGACACGGGCACACATGCAGGTAATACACTCATACACATCAAATAAAAATAATAAATAAAAATTTTAAATAGACAACCAAATATATTTAATGTACTGAAAGCATAGGATAAAATGAATAGTCTCAACCTTAGGATAACTCATACAACAACTTTTGGGAATTGATTCTCTCTTTCCACCATGGGTTCTGGGGATTAAACTCAGGTCATATAGCAAGTGCCATTACCAACTCAAGACCTCTCACTGGACCGCTTTTACACCTACCACACCCAGAAAATAGACTAAGACATGTAAACTGTCAGAAGGCATGTGGAAAACATCTTTGTGATTTCCTAAAACCTTACATAAAATGCTTTAGGTTTTCACTCCTTACCAAGTAGGTATTTGGAAAGGTTGTTGTAATAAACACTTTATAAGGGTCCTCCTAACCCTAACTACTCTTTCTCTTTCTCTTTCTTTCCTCTCAGTATTTCCTCTCAATATTGTCAATTTAGATAATGATTTGTCTAAATAACTATACTGCAGTACAGAGAAAACTGAGGGAAGAAGGCCCTCAAGCTGGGATACAGCTTAGAGTGAAATGGTTGCCTAAAATAGTTAAGTACTTTGGCTAGATTCCCAGCACTACTTTTAAAAAAGCAAAAATGAAGGAACGGAAGGAAAAGAAAACGTGCACTAGTGCAAAGTTAAGGTAAAGAAACAACAAAAATAACCAAAACCAAAAATGTCAACATAAATTTTAAGAGAACATACATGAACATGCATACAGATTAATATGTAAATGTGCAGTATGACCACATCTTATTTTGTATATAGGTTACACTCCTTTCTTTCAAATATGTGTTATATGTTAAGAACTTAAATTCACACTGGGACAGCAATATTTAAAAATTTTCTGCGTTCACTGACTGATGGCTTTTGCATTTATATTTCTCTTTTTGTTTTCTCTACTGGGCAAGAGATAGAAAAAGAGTCTTAGTTTTATAAATGACTATAAGTCTTCTTCATAGAGTATGAGGGAGTCATATAGTAACCACAATGTTAAATTATGAGTTTTTAAGCCTATATTAAGCTGCAACCTATAAGCATGATCAGAAGATGTTAAAAATGGGCCAGTAAGAGGTTTGGAGTGGGTAATGGCACTTGCCGCAATGACCTGAGTTTAATCCTCAGAACCCACACTGGAAAGAGATAATTCCCAAAAGTTGTCACATGAGTTCCACCTGTGCACTGTGGCACTCACAACACATGAATAAAAGATTCTAAAAATAAGCCTCATTTAAATAAACATATGGTCTCCAAAAACCAAGCATACAGTGACTACTAATGAACTTCAAAGGCATTTTAAACAACATCCATTTGATAATAAACATACTGAGTAAGTTTTAACTTGATGTCTTCTATGGATTGCAGATAATCTGAATAAATACTTTCAAACTTGAAAAGCAGCTTTTGGTATGAGTTTGAACAGTCCTCCAGATTGGCCATGATTGCAGCCCAGCCTTGGTGTTGAAGATGTTCATCATGGACAAGACCTTCACAAAATGAACACAGTTTCTTGGCAACTTCATACATTTCCTGTAAGGAAAAAGAAAATAAAAACAAAACAAAAAATAAAGCAATGATTTCTGTGTACATTTTGCATGCACACAGCTCAAAAAGTTCTGGAAAACACAAAATAAAAGACTGAAAATACATAATCAACTTCTAGACTAACATAACAGTCTTGAACTTGGAAGAGTCTTCATTTTCTGTAGACAAATTATTATTTCTATGTGTCTGTGTGTGAATGGAGGCCTGGAGAGTAATATTCTGTCATTCTACCTTATTCCTTTCAAACAGGGTCTCTCTCTGAACCTGGAGCTAGGCTGCTGGTCAGCAAGCCAGTGACACTCTGATCTTTACTGCCCACAGCACTGGGGTCGTGAGCATGTAGCATTACATCCAGTTTTTCACGTGGGTGCTGGAGTACTCAAATTGAGGTCCTCATGCTTGTCTAGCAAGTACTTTTACAAACTGAGCAGTTCCCTCCAGCCAAAACAGTGAAATTATTTTAAGAAGAGATGTTTGGAATTCAGTTCCAAAAAGTAATGTATCAAGTATAGACTTCTAAAAAGGAATGTAGGAGACTACTGAATAAAGGAGCTATCTGTCATAAAGGAGGAGTTCTCTGTCACAAAAGGTATTAGAGCAGTAGGAAATATAAATGAGATCATCCTAACTATAACTGTAAGAAAGATTATACAGGAAAGAAGTGATGGCTTTCAGAAACTGAGAGCACCCGTTGTCACTGTGGGGGCAGAAAAAGAAGATGGGCATAGATTATGAGTGAAGAATTCCAAAGGCTGTGCGAGAATAAAGAAGCAAGGGCAAGAAACTGTAAAATACAATTTCTAAAACATTAGTCTAGAAGAAAGAGAAGAGAGAGGGCTCCAATGAAAAAAACTCAGAAAATACTAACAAAGAGGAAATGGCCCAGGGCCCAGGACGGTAAGTACACCTACAATCCTAGCACTGAGGTATGAGGAATACAAACAAAAGGAAGTGGGGAGTGATGGTATATGCTTATGATCTCAGCAATGGTAGGTGGAGACAAGAGAGACTCATGAGTTCAAGGCTATCCTGGGCAACACAGCAAGTTCCAGGCCACTATGGCTACTTGAGACTTAAGTCTAAATAAAAACAAAACCATGTCACAGGACAAATGAGAACATGGCTGTAAAGCCCAAGTCCATTGCCTTCCTGTGAAGGCTACAAACACAATGAAAGAAGAGGCTGCTTTGTGTTCCCAGGTCTTCTGTGCTGCTCTTTGCACCCTCTCGAGAACACTTGGCCTTCAGATGTCTACACTTCACCAATTTAATCCCTTATTCTTTTCTAGTTCTCTCTTCATCCCTGCCTAGATGAAATTTTTAAAGCTTTTTAAAAAATGTTTTATTTTAATTTTATGTGTATGAGCATACTGCCTGCACGTATGTAAGTGCACCCATGTTATGCAATACTTGCAGAGGTCAGAAGAGGGTGCCGGATCCCCTGGAAGTGGAGTTAGCGACAGTTGTTAGCTGCTGTGTGGGTTCTGGGACTCGAACCTGGGTCCTCTTGAAGAGCAGCCAGTGCTCTTAACTGCTGAGACATCTCTCTAGCCTTTAAAAAGTTTTCTCACTTGTTACCCTATGCTAGGATACTTCTATCTTATCCATAATCTCCCAGTCTTACCATAAGTCCCAGATCAAACCATGAGAGCATCCATGAGGATGTTTATACAAGATGATGCCACCAACAAAAGGGACTCAACTCATCATGACTCAAGGCTAAAGTCTTTCATCATGATGATGACAACAGCATCAGGATGGGACTTAGCAACCCTGGGTTAAGTCATCTCCTATAACTTGGCCAATCACAAAGCCATAATGCTTGTACACAAGGAAAACACCTTTTAAAGTCTGTGACTAATGGACAATTACCAAAAGGTTAGCCTACTCCAAGAAAATCAATAAGCCTGTTGCTCGCTGTTAGGCTGAACAGCTTGATCAGCAGAAATTTTACCAATGCTAAGTCCCCTGTGCCCAATAAATCACCTTCCCTTCTGTTTGTAACATGTGAACTCTTCTCATTTCCATTGTCCTGTCACAAGAACCTGGTGTCTAGTGCCAAACACTACGTTAAAATAAGTCCCTAAGGCTCTTACTAACCAACTAGGCAAGTGTGCTAAATGTTTAATTTTGACAGGGTCTCCCTAGTCCCAGTCCACTTGGAAGTCACTATGTGGACCAGGGTGGCCTAATGTTACCTATTTTTACACATTACTGTAATTCCATTGGTTGTAAGACACATTTTCTTTACTGATGGCAAACTGTAGCTACTACTTGACAGCTTGGGGTCAATAATATTACAGTGAGGTTATAGCAAATTAAAAAACAAGCCACTGTGGTACACGTCTATAATTCCAGGGCTGGGAAAGCTAAGGAAGGAGGATTTTATAGTTTGGGTTACACACAGAGACCCTGTCTAAAACTAGAAATAATGAAGGAAAATAATAAAAAACAGAGAAGGATTCAAGTTATGTTGTAAGAAGTACATATTAGAAAAAAAACTTGATTCTCTAAGAACTGCATATGATTAAGGAAAAAGAACTTCAGTTTTAAAGTTGTGTGAGCTTTTTTGTCTATGTCTACTCTAACATAGGTACTGTATCAATTGAAGAATGTTCAAAGGTGATTTTCTGTATATAAATATCCAGGCGAGATGACAGTCAAATTATATTTAAGACAACCTTTTTTATTTTATTACTTTTATTTCATGTGTACGAGTGTGTTGCCTGCATGTATGTGAGTGGACCCGTGTCATGCAATGCCTCGGAGGTCAGAAGAGGGCGTCAGATTCCCCTAGAACTGGAGTTAAAGACAGTTCGTAGCCACCATGTAGGTGCTGGGAATTGAACCCAAGTCCTGAGCCATCTCTCCAGCCCTTAAGACAACCTTTTAATGTACACACACACACACACACACACATACACACACAGAGAGAACAGAGAGAGAAAGAGTAAAATGCAAAAAAGTCCACACCACCCAAAACTGTAAAGGGCAGAAAAGGTTGGTATTTTTCATGTTTTCTATGTAATTCTGACTTCTTTGGTACTTAAGACTTTAACGCTGTTAGAAGTAATCTGTTCAGTAGTTAAAACAATTGTTTATATATTACCACTGCAAGTTGTGTCCTTGAAGCAACAGTGTGAAAAACTGCAGGCATCATGAGTGACTCTTCAACTTTTATTTCCATGTCATTTTCTGTTGAAAAGGTAGTTTTAGGAATAGCAGGTGCACGGTCACACAAGATCATTTCTTTGTTAAAAAGAAAAATTGGATTTGTGTCCTAAATTAAAAAAAAAACAAAACAAATATTAAAAACATTACAAATGCTCAACTTGCATACTGCCCTTATGATATAAATACTGAGTCCCAGCTCCCCCTCTGATGTGAAAGCAAAGTAGCAGGCCCTTGGATACCCACCGTCCCAGCACTGTAGGTGCACACTCTTCGATCTGCAGCCATGCACTCTCCTCCATTGACCACCAGCACCTGGTGCTGAATAGCAATCTTGTATTTGCTTTGAATGGCATGCTTAAGGTCAGCCACACTTCCAGAAAAACAGAAATCAGTTATTTACATATGCCTAGTTAACTGTACAAAAGCAATACTTTACAGAACAACACAAATACACACACATACACACACACACAAACACACACACACACACACATCCTAATAAGACTAATGATTTCACTCTAAGGCCTTTTTCCCAGTAGTTAAAAAAAAAAAAGTTCCCCATTTTGGGGTCTGGAGAGATGGCTCAATGGGCAAAGGTATTTGTCGTCAAGCCTGGTAACCTGAATTTGATCCTTGTGACCCACATGGTACGAGGAGAAATACCGCTTGCAAGTTGTCCTCTGACCCCCCACACGTGGTCCATGGCATACAGACACACACAATATTAAAATGTCATAAAAATTTTTAGGTTTCCTATTTTTTGAATTAGATTTCACAATCAACCAGCTATCTCTGCTACATATTTTAGATGTGAGAGTCTACAGGCAGCTCGTTACTTTTCTGCAAGAGACATAAGGAAACATATATGCTGAAACTGGCATCAAGTTTTGTGGCATTCCCTTGAACCCAAGACTTGTATTAACAGTTTCACAATACATTACAGAAACTACATTAAGAGTAAAGCATGTGAAAATTTCTTCCTTTCCCTTCTATCTTTCCAATGAAATGGTCCCCATACAGATGTAGTAACATACACTCCATAATCCAGAAAACTTAAGTGGCTGAGGCAAGAAGGCTGCAATTTCAAACACAGTCTGGGCTCACATAACAAGAAAAACAATTCCTTTAGATATTTAAAAAAAAAAAAAGCATTTAATGAACACTAGTGTATTTAAAATGTAAAATATAGCTGAGGAGATGGGTCAGTGGGTACAGTGCCTGTTGTTCAAACATAAGATTTGAGTTTGAATCTCCAGGACACTTAAGCAGGTCTTATAAAGGTGCCAAGCGTCTGCAACCCCTAGGGTGGGATGGAGACAGGCAGATCCCTAGAGCTGGAGGGCCAACCAAACCAGTGAGCTCCTAGTGTATTTAAAATGTAAAATATAGCTGAGGAGATGGGTCAGTGGGTACAGTGCCTGTTGTTCAAACATAAGATTTGAGTTTGAATCTCCAGGACACTTAAGCAGGTCTTATAAAGGTGCCAAGCGTCTGCAACCCCTAGGGTGGGATGGAGACAGGCAGATCCCTAGAGCTGGAGGGCCAACCAAACCAGTGAGCTCCAAGTTCTCAAAATATAAGGTAGAGAGTAATAGAAGACATCCAATGTCTACCTCTCTCCTCCACATGCAGGTGTTTAAGTGCACAAGCACACATGCACACAGAAACATAGTATACATACATCATACACATACAAATAAAGGAAACATAAAATAACCTCTTAGTCTCCTTTGTGTACATGGTGTGTCTGTGTTTTTCTCTGGTATGGTCACCTGTACCTACACCTGGATGCCAGAAGCTGATGCTGGGTGTCTTCCATTGCTTGCTACCATATATTTTGAAGAAAGGGTTTAGGTGGGGCACAGTGAGGCCCTCCCTCTAACTTAAACTAAAATTATCAAAGTATTAGATTAATTTATTCTGTACTGTTATCAAATCCTTACTACAAGTAGTACATGCCACTTATTTTTATTTTAATAAAAATAAGGCGATTTGAAAGTGGCACGTACTACTTGTATTTCTTTCCTGTTTGACCTCAAATTATTTTCTCCTTTGCTTTTTTTTTAGCATGGGAGGACAATCATTGGTCAAATATCTGAAATCCTGGGCAAGATGGAAAATGATTAGACATGAACCACACTAATAAAAAATATTCAATTTGTTCTATTCTATCATTAATAAGTGAAACAAACCTAACAACTTTATATATATAGGCAATCAATGGCTACTAAGAGATGGAGAATTAGTTTTTTCCAGGAATGAGCTCCCTGATTACGTTATGCAATCCCTAGTGGTCAGCACTAAATGTATGCACCCATGAGAACCATTAAATGGACTCAGTAGGCAGTATGTGTGTGGCGTGCCTGTGTGTGTGGGGGGTGCATGCACGTTTAACAATAATTAATGAGATCATAAATTTGAGAAGTAGGGCAAGCATGGGAGGAGTTGGAAGTGTGAGAGGGAGAGGCAGACATGATGTAAAGACAGTGCTCAGGTATGAAATTCTTAAAAAGATGAAAATGTAAGTTAAAAAAATAAAGGAAATTCTTCAGTTTACTACACTGATACTAGCATACTAACATTCCCTTGGCACTGTTCACTATAGCCAAGCTATGTAATTAGTCCTAGGTGTCCATCAAAAGATGAATGCCTATCTCTGAAGAGGACACCTATTTCAAACCTCTGCCTCCGAAGGCTCAGGGATCATTGTGGAAGAGGAGGCAGAAAGATTTTAAGAGGCAGAAACATTTTAAGAGCTAGAGGGGATAAATGACCACAAGTCTTTCAGAGAGCTGGTCAGTTACTTACATGAACTCAGCAATGGTGACAGCGTGCACAAGTCCCATGTAAGCTCAAATCAGAAAGAATCCCAGTGTAGACATGGGAAAGTGGATAAGGAATCCCAACCCAACCTAAGGAATTTATGGCAAATGATGGCAGGTGGGAGAGGGAGAGACAGTGTCTTACAGGGATGGGCTTGCTGAATGACCCACACCCACACTGAAGAACATTTGGGGATATAAATCAGACTCTAAAGGCTAAATTTTATATATATATGAGAGTACATTAAACTGGGCGGGGGCTGTGGGGGAGAGGTATGGATAGGGGAGGGGATCGAAATACCATCAACCTATTTCGTATGAAAATCGCAGAAATTCAATGAAAAAATAAAATCCAATAAAAAAAATTTAACTTTTTATACGAAACAAAACAGAAAACGAAAGAGAAAAGTGAAATATAACTCACGTTTGCACTGTTAGTTCAGTGTCAAATGTCAGAGTAGTTCCAGTGTTGACAAGAAACACATATAACTTCATGATTTCTCTGGAATCTGTGAGCCTATACCTCACCTTCTGGTATGGTTCCTAAATGAAACAAGACAAGTGATTAATTTTAAAAACAAGTTCAAATACCTTCATCATACAGCACAAGGGCTGGACAGATGGCTCAGCAGTTAAGATCACTTGTCACTTGCTGCTCTTGCAGAAGACCTGGGTTTGATTCCCAGCACCCACATGGCGGTTAACAACAGTCCATTAACTCCAGTTCTAGGGAATCTGACTCCCTCTTCTGACCTCTGCAGGTATTGTAATGATATGGGTGCACTCACACATATACGATACATTCATACACATAAAAGTAATAAATAAAATATAAAAAAGTTAATATGTATTTATTTTGCTCTCTATATTCAGAAAAAAATTACTTAGGGACTTAGAAGTGTAACTCAATGGATTAATTGCTTTGCATATGCAAGGCTCTGAGTATCATTCTCAGCATACATAAAAGCCAATGTGTATGTATATGTATACACATAATGTATTATGGGGGGGTGTCAAACATCTTAAAACACATGTAATAGTGCACTTTTAACGCCAGCACTCAGGAGGCTAGGGAGAAGGATTGTGCGTTCAAAGGCACCCTGAGCGACATATAAGTTCCAAGACAGACTGGATAACAGTGATACCTGGTATCAAAACGCAAAAAGTTCTTAACTCCAAAAGGTGCTACTACCCCTTCTTCCTATTTCAAGTAAACTAACCGTAAATAAGAATAGCCATGGGTTGACAGCTCTTGCTACTCAAGCAGAAGAATCTGAGTTCAAATCTGCAGCACCCATGTAAACACTCAGATGTGGGAATGGACAAGCTGGTAATCTAAGCACTGCAGAAGATCATTAGGGCCCACTGGCCAATAACCTAGGTCCAGAGTTAGGGAGGGACTATCTCAAGGGAATAAGGTAGAGCAGGACCTCCTCTGGCCTCTGTGCCTGGGCATGAGACCATAAGCACACATCATTCAATTCGTGCACACAACAAAGAGAGAAAACAGACATTACTGTCAAGAGAAATCCACCCCTCAAGTTCCTTCCACTTAGTTGCCTCTCTATCTGTACTCTACCTCCATAATGAGCTAGAATACTCCACAGGAACCTTTGTTCAACCTCTCTCCACCCTCCTCCAAAGCAGCCTCTAACCCCAGTATTAGAAAGTACATGGGTCTAGAAAAGAGAATACTTAAAACTACTCTGTCATTAACTTGCTCAAGTGAAAAAAGTCATTTATAAAATAACACTTCCTCCTCTATAAAATACAAAGACTAGATTTTAAGATCTAGCATTTTACTTTAACAAATAGGTAAAAGTCCTATAGACTAATGAGAGTGAAATAAAATTCTCAGACTAGGTACTTTCATTTATTTTCTTTCCACATGTATATTAGAGTAAACTTTTCATGTAAGGAAAGCAAGGCTTTAACATTAAGGATTCCCTAGATCACAAACTCATGTATAAAGGATAACTACAACTTACTGTCAGGTAGAATGAAGAATCCTATTACTTTTCTTGAAATATTAAAAGTGTCTTATATTTGCTTTCCTTGACACTGGCAACTGAATGGCATTATTGGTGAAACTCGAACAACTGGAAAGAAAAATATCAAAAATATTATGCAGAGAAATAATTCAGTATGTAACAAACAACAAAACACAGCTATTCTCTGTCTTTTCCTTTAAAACTGCTATCTGTAAGGACAATCTCTACTTGGCTAGGTCCCTTCTCCCACCTGCACTTTCACTGAATCCACAAATATAAATCAGACCCATGACACTCCACTAAACACAAGTTACCAATGACCTCCTCCAAACTATTACTTCTAGAATCATTTTGCAGACCTTAAGATAGAATAGTCAAGAGGGAATAGTGACAAGGGAGGAAGATGCGAAGTTCAAGGTCATCTTGCTCTACACAGAAGACCCTGACTTTTTTTCTATTTATTTTTATTTTATGTGTATGAGTGTATTCCCTGCATGTAGGTAGGTGAACCTGTGTCATGCAATGCCAGTGGTGTCAAGCAATGCCATCAGAGGTCAGAAGAGGGTGGTGTCTTCTGACCTGGAGTTACAGACGGTTGTTAGCTGCCATGTGGGTGCTAGGAATTGAACTTGGGTCCTCTGTAAGAGCAGTCAATGCTCTTAACCACTGAGCCATCTCTCCAGCCCCAGAAGACCCTGGCTTAAATATAGAATAGAATCAATAAAATATTAAGAATAGTAAGAGCAACAGCGGTAAGGAAGAGCTGTCTGTGAAGTCAGACAGCTTAGTGTAGGAAGAGGGATATGTGCATGTGAGTGCTGAAGCCACAGATATCAGATTCCCCTGGAACTAGAGTTACAGGCAGCTATGAGCCACGTGACATGGGTGTGGGACCCAAACTCTGTAAGAGGAAGTACATACTCCTAAGTGTTGAGCCATCTCTCCAGCACTCCCACCATTACTTTTAAGTATAAAAGATTACCTCGGGAGGGCAGGATGGCTCAGGGGGTAATGGTTCTTGCCTGATGGTAAAGAGAACCAATTCCTTCCTCAAGCTGTCCTCTGACCTCCAAACACCCACTGTGGTGTGGTATGGTGTGGTGTGTGTGTGTGTGTGTGGTGTCTCACACATACACACAGACACACACACACACACACACACACACCAAAAAAGAGATAAATGTAAAAAAAAAAAAAAAAAACTGGGGGGCTGGAGATGGGTCAATGGTTAAAGAGCATTTGCTGTTATCCCAACAGACCTGAGCTTGGGTCCCAGCACCCACAAGGCAGATAACTACCATCTGTAACCAACTCCTGGCCTCTGTAGGCAATGCATGCACTTGATGCAGGTAAAACATGCATATGCACAAAAAATAAATGAAATAAGTATGTATTTTTTATTTTTTAAAGAGCACCCTATAATACACACCCTCTCTAGATAACCATCAGTTATCACTGCCACCTCCACTTCCTGGTACCCATTACAGTGAACAGCTCCCCCCCCATTGCCTCAAGATGCAGGCAAAGACTATGTTTCTAATCAATAAAACATAGCAAAAGCTAACAGGTCATGTCTATGATTATTATTAAGGTTACACCTTCTACTTTGCAACTGACTTCCTTGTCAACCTTTCTTAGTAGTCACATTGAGTTACACTTGATAGGAACTCAAAGTGGACAGCAGGAAGCTAGGAACTTAAGTCTCACAATTCTCAATGAACTGACAAAACTACTACACGACTGAGTAGGTCCTTACCTAAATGAGCCTCATAAGACACCAGGCCTAGACAAAAATCTTGACTATATTCTTATGAAACACACTTCAGCAGAAAATGTAGTCAGACTATGACCAGCATCAGTACGATAATGTATGTATGCTGCTTAGAGTAACCAAGTTTATAGTTATTTCTTACTGAGCAAAAGATAAAACAACGACCACACAGAGGTGTTATGAGGAAGAGGAAGAAAATTTTTTTCACATATAAACATGGTGTACAAGAGATAATGCAACTCTCCACCATTTGGGTTGGAATCTCAGGCCTCTTTACCTTAGTGTATTAGAATCTGGAGTACTCCTGTGGCTGTAGCTACTACTACTGTTGACTACCTACCAAATCTCAAACCTAGCCCATGCAATCTTCCTTAAACTCAACAAATCCTATTCATTCGACAATATGCGTTCTTCAATCTTACAGTTTTTAAAACTTAGCTCCACACCTTTGCAGACTGTCTGAATCTGGCCTCTGCATGGTGGTGAGCTTCCCAAATCACACCATGCCCATTCCCCTGTATTGGGATGTGTGGCCCCTCCCACTGCTCCAAAGCTAGGCTTCCCTGCCCTTCAGTAGGGCCCCAGATCTTTGAAGACTGTCTGGGAGTACCTAGATCTGGACTCTGCATGGTGGTGAGCTTCCCAAATCCTGCCATACACATCCCTCTACATTGGAATCCATATCCTTAATGAACAAAAATTCCAAACAAAATTTGCAAACCACATATAGACACGCATCAAGAAAGATAATCCACCATGATCAAGTGGGCTTCATTTCGGAGATACAGGGATGGTTTGACAAAGTCAATAAATGTCATAAAATCATTAAATGAAATCAAAGACAAAAATCACATGGTCATCTCAATAGATGCAGAAAAGGTCTTTGACAAAATTCAGCATGAATTCATAAAAGTCCTAGAGGAAATTAGACTGGAGGGAATATACCTTAACACAATTAAAGCTATATACAACAAACCCCAAAACAACATCATTCTAAATGGAAACAACAACAAAACTGGAAGCATTCCCATTAAAATCAGGAACCAAACAAGGGTGTATTACTGTCTCCACTCCTTTTCAATGTAGTAATTGAAACTCTTGCTAGAGCCAAGAGAAGGAAACTAATGGAGTACTAACTGGAAATAAGTCAATTTTTCCCTTTTGCAGACAATATGATATGATACCTAAGAGATTCCAAAAAATTCCACCAGAAAACTCCTAGAGCTGATTAACACTTCCAACAAAGTGGCAGGTTACAAAATTAATCTACAAAAATCAGTAGCCTTTCTATATACCAGTAACAAGCAATCCAAGAAAGTACAGGGAAACCCTCCCACTTACAATAGCCCCCCATATATCTATATATGAATAAACCTGACCAAAGACATAAAAGATCTCTACAATGAAAATTTTAAATCACTGAAGAAAGAGGTTGAGGAAGACACCAGAAGATGGAGGACCTCCCGTGCTCATGGATTGGAAGAATTAACATTGTGAAAATGACCATCTTACCAAAAGCAATGTATAGATTCAATGCAACCCCAATCAAAATGACACACTTCACAGAATTAGAAAAAAATCATCCTAAAATTCATATGGAAGCACAGAAGACCCCAGATAGCCAAAGCAACCCTGAGCACAAAGAGCAATGCTGGGAGAATTACTATATCAGATCTCAAACTATATTATAGAACTATAGTCACAAAACAGCAGGTACTGGCACAAAAATGGACACATAGATCAATGGAACATTAATAGAAGACCCAAATATGTGTACATGCACCTTCAGTCACCTGATATTTGACAAACGTGCCAAAAACACACAATGGAGGAAAGACAGCATCTTCAACAAATGGTGCTGGCAAAACTGGATCTCTACCTGTAGAAGATTGAAACTAGACCCTTATCTTTTTTCACCTTGCACAAAAGTCATCTCCAAATGGATCAAAGACCTCAATTTGAAACCTGAAACTCTGAAACAGAAGAAAACACTGGCAATCACCTACAAGATATAGGTGTAGGAAAGAATTTTCTAAATCGGAAATCAGTTGCTCAGGAAAGCTTCTATGCAGCAAAACAAACCAAGAAAATTAAGAGAAAACCCACAGAGTGGGAGAAAATCTTCACCAATGACACATCTGACAGGGTTAATATCCAGAATATATAAAGAACTCAAGAAAATAGAATAAAAAAAAAAAAAACCAAAACCCAAAATGACCAATTAAAACATGGGCTAACGATCTGAACAGAGAGTTCTCAAAAGAAGAAACAAAAATGCCTTAGAAACATCTTAAAAGTGTTCAACATCATTAGTAATTAGGAAAATGAAAATTAAAACCAAGTTAGAGTTCATCTTATCCCAGACAGACTGGCTAACATCAAGAGAACAAATAATACCAAAAGGCTGGTGAGGACATGAAGAAAGGGGAACGCCCATTCACTGATGGTGAGATTGCAATCTTGTGTAATCCCTATAGAAAGCAGTGTGGAGAACTCTTAAAAAACTAAAAATGAGGGCTGGAGAGATGGTGCAGCGGTTAAGAGCACTGACTGTTCTTGCAGAAGACCTGGGTTCGATTTCCAGCATCCACATGGTGGCTAACAACCATCTGTAACTCCAGTTCCATGGCATTGGGATCCAACACCCTCTTCTAACCTCTGTTGGCCCTGCATGACACTGATGCACTGATCTACATGCAAGCAATACACTCATACACACAAAATTTAAAAAATAATAAAATAAATAAGCAAAACCCTCTTCTAACCTCTGTTGGCCCTGTGTGACATGGGTGCACTGATCCACATGCAAACAATACACTCATACACACAAAATTTAAAAAATAATAAAATAAATAAGCAATACCCTCTTCTAACCTCTGTTGGCCCTGTGTGACATGGGTGCACTGATCTACATGCAAGCAATACACTCATACACATAAAATTTTAAAAATAATAAAATAAAAAAATAAGCAAAATATTTTTTTAAAAAACAAAAAACTAAAAATGAACCTACCATATGACCTGGTAATATCACTTCTTGGCGTATACCCAACAGATTCATCCTACTGCAGAGATACTTGTACAACCATGTTTGTTGCTGCTCTTTTCGCAACAGCTAAGAGATGGAAGTAACCTAAGTGTCCCTCAACTGACTAGTTACTAACAAAAATGTGGTACATTTACACAACGGAGTTCTATTCGGCAGTAAAGAAAGATGAAATAATGAAATTTTCAGGTAAATGGATGGAAGTAGAAACTGTTATACTAAGTGAAACAACACAGACTCAGAAAAACAAACAATGTATGTTCTCCCTCATTTGTGGATTCTAGCACCAAA